CGCGGGGCGGCCCGCGAGGAGCGCCTGCTGGGGATTCGCCCATTCTCAGGCTGTAGGAGGGTGTTGGATCCCCTTTTCCCTTTTTGTTTGATATTCACATGAAAGGAGGGGGCATACGTCTCACAAAGGCCTATCCCAAGACCTTCTGCAAGGAGCTAGGCTTTGCGACATTTACATTTATGTTTGGCTTCAACTTTTCATTTGGAAGTAATTTCAGAATTAAAAGAAGGTGTGAAGCGCGTACCGAGAATTCCCATCTATTTGCTACTCAGATTTTCCAAATGTTCTTACCAGACAATAGAGAAAAGAAAATACTCTTTATCTACGGAACTTACCCCGATTTCCCTACTTGTCTCAGGGATTTCTTTTTTTGTGGTGAGATACAGTTCAGGATTTAGGTGCATTTCATGTGTACAAATATGCCTGATGCAATCGATGAATGGATTGTAATAGAGTTGTAAGAATACAACTGATCTTTAAAATTATCCCAATAAAATGATCTTAAAAAAAAAAGATTTAGTTGCTTTTAGTTGTCCAATCTTTGGGAGGCGCCATACCCTTCAGCGCCTGCTGAAATCTCAGAGGCTGCCCAGGAAGCTCCGGGTTGCTAGTAAGAGGCCCTTTGTGTGCTGGGTGCCTTGGCTGCTTGAGAACATCCAGCTGACTCAAGAGAGTGGGTTTGGGCAAAGGTGACCACCATTTCCTTAAGGACTGGGTCTGCCCCTTGGCCACCAGCTTTCTGGAGATTCTGCTACCTCCCTCCCCATCCCTTTCTATGCTCTTTGAAGGCCATCTTTTCTTCTCTGTCTGGATTTCCTCCCAGGCTGATCTCTTGTAGTGTTTGTCACCATTTTTCCTTGGAAAACCCACTGGTTTAGGATCGCAGCTGAGCCATGTCCCTGTCCCAGATTGCCAGAATCTTTTGCCTGCAGGGTCTGTCTCAGGATGTCCTAGACCCCAGCTTGTGCTCACCTGCCTTTCAGTGAGTGTTCTCTGCCTCTCAGAACATCGCCCAGAGCAGATGTGCAGACCAGAACTTGAGGAAATCTCCTTGACTCACCCTCCTCTGCCCAAGGCCGATCTGTGATTTTCTTGCACCTTCGTTGATGCCCTCAACTCGTTGGTCATTGCAACTAAGGTCAACGGGTTAAAATGCAAGCCTGAGTATATCGGCTCTCTTACAGTCTTTTTGTATTTCTCACTGTTCCTAGGATAAGGACAGATCCTTATCCTGAATTATCCTGAATGTGGCCTTGAAGCCTTACACGACTGATCCAGCCTCATCTTATCCTTTCTGCCTCATGGTTTCTACTTTGGCTTGACAGGCTTTACACCGGCCCCCCTCCGTGCTCCCCCTTGCTGTCTGGGCTGGTGTTCTCTGCTTACCCAGCAGATTGCTGCTCTTCTGCAGATCTTGGCCCTGTCATCCCATCTTCTCTCACCTCCGTGTATTAGGTCTCAAACCAAAAGCCAAACCCAATCCTATCAAGCTGATTCTGATGCATAGCAGCCCTATGGGATAGAGCAGAACTGCTTCCCCGGGGATTTTGAGGCTGTCGTTCTTCATGAGGAGCCCTTGTGGTGGTGTGTTATTAACCAAAGGTCAGCAGTTCAATCCCTGTAGCTCTGTGGGGGAAAGATGAAGCTTTCTGTTGCCATAAAAATGTATAGTCTTGGAAACCCGAAGAGGGAGGTAGTTCTATTTTAGCTTATAGGCATGAAATGATTTGATGGCAGTGGTTGGAATTTATTATTATTATTATAAACAGTTTTGTTGGGACATAATCCAAATAGCATACAATTCAATAGTTCAATCATATCAAGACGAGTTGCACAATCATTACCACAATCAATTTTACAACGTTTTCTTCTTTCTTGTACTCTTTGTTATTGGATCACCATTTCTCCCTAGCTCCTAGCCATACTCCCAAGGAATCTAGTTACTGGTGATTACATATCTTTATGGAAGCAGTCTGTCTCGTTTTCCCTTTTCTGAGCTGATAATGGATTTCAACTGC